AACCCTGAGGTAGAAGGTGCAGTCTGGGACTGCCATTGCCTTGCATTTTCATTTTCCTAGGTGCCAGACATGCAACAGAAACAAAACATCCCCAACTCACCCATAGTGGAGCTAACTTGCTAGCAGTAACTCAGAGGTAGATATGAACACAGGGCTGAACTGTCTTTCACAACTGAGCTGGGAAGAGTGGATATGAAAATGTTAAAACAAATAAGAAGCAGGCCATTAGCCTGAGGTTGCCAGGTTTGGGAGTATTTATGTAACTGATGGAAAACAACAACAACCAAAAAAAATAAAATAAAATAAAATAAAATAAAATCCTGGGCCTTTGCTTGGTTCAACCAGCAGATTGATTTTGATTACCAACCGGGAACCTCCTATTAGCCATATGAAAATAAGGCAAACACCTTGATTGTAGCCAGTGAACTTCCTTCTGTTCAGCCTATAAAAACTCACTGTTCGGGCAGGTGGAGTGGAGCTCTCTGGACTTCTGATTATGGTTACTGCCTGATTCATGAATCATTCTTTGTACAAGTAAGCTGTTAGATTTATTTTCTAATTTATTTATTAATTTATTATTAAGTTATTCTAATCTATTTATTTCTAATTTATTTTCTCTAAAATTTTGATTTCAACAAAAGAGAATGGGAGATGGGCACAGTGTGGGGAAAAAATAAGAAAGAAGTAGAGTGAGAGAGGGCTGGGAGGTACCTTGGACAGAAAAATGTCATGGGAATTTGGGGTCAGATGAATATGACCTGATGGATAGTGTGTGATGTAATTCTTTCCTGCACACTACCAACTCATATTTAAAATCTTCCAAAAATTAAAATTAAATGTTCCCTGAGGTTACATTTCTTGTGGAAAGTGGTGATAGAACCAAGGTCTGCATTTTAATGGCTGGAGAGTGGAAGCAGCCACAAGAGGAGATAGACATCTGGGTAACGTCTCCTCCACCTTGCATATGCCTAGAGTGAGTTTAGAAAGAGTTGTTACAATCTTACCTGTTTACCTCTGAGCAGTTAGGAATATTTTTCTTCATAAACTGTTTAGCATTAGCTTTTTAAAAATAATTAGCTTATATTATCTCTGTAGAAAGAAACAACATCTTAAAATTAGATTTGCAATTTTGTGTTCTATCAATTCAGGTTTCTATGATGGTTCTAATTCTATCTCCTTCCCTGCCCCAGTTGAACATTCAGGTTTTACACTGTTTTTTTTGTTTCAGAATAGATTATTTGGTGTGCATGCCACTTTGTTCTGTTACTTTGTTTCCTACAAGATAATTTTCCTAATTTAACTTTCATGTTAAGTTAAAGTTCACAACATTGCTAATTGCTCAGTAGTATTCAGTGTGGGGCTCCACAACTTTATGATGCATTTGGAAAAAGTACATTAAAATGTTTTAATCCAGGGAAGTAAAAATGATGATAGAGTGAGCAAGTAAGAGCTATGCTGAAAGGTTATAGGAGATGAGCTCACTTAATCAAAAGATACTAAAAGATCTGTTTAATTCATTGAGTCTCACATTTTAGTCTCCACCTTTAAGAAATTCATCTGAATTTGAAACATTTATTTAACTACTATTTTTACAATGTTTCTCTTTAAAAACTCTTGTTCTTTACCCTTATTTGTGTAATACTAACACTTAAGTATTCAATATTATTAGTTGCCTTGGATACAAAGTTTGTGGTACACATAAATAAATGAATGAATGATGATGCAAATGTCTTTATATCTACAAAAGGCTGATAACCAGATGCTTTTATATTTTAGCTAAACTGGATAGTTTATATTTATTTGTATGTAAATATTTATTATAAATAAACTATGAATATAAACTCTGTGGTTTAGTTTAAATATAAAAGTATCTGATTATCAGCCTTTAAAAATATCTAGTTATTCTCTTAATTATTTAAATATAAACAACCTGATATTTATAAATAAATAAAAGGAAATTGCTCCAGACTGCAGCCTGAAGTATTTTGCTGTTATATAATGTGGAATACCAACAATAATATTTGTCCCATGTTAGAGTCGGGTTATCATCTCCCTGGTAAGAGTCAGTGTGAGCTGTTCAGCACGTTCCTCAGAAGCTGCAAACACTCTCCTGTGTGTTGTGGAATGCTAGTCTTTCCCTGGACCCCCAACTCTTGTGTTTGTCTTGCGGAGAAAATTGTTAGGCCTCTGCACCTTTCCTATTTCTCTTTCCACCTTTTTATGCCCTTTCCCCAAATATTTTTATCAATGTACACTTTTAATGTCTGTATTAATTCATTTACTACTGCTGTAAAGAACTGCCTGAGACTGGGTAATTTATAAAGGAAAGAGGTTTAATTGACTCACAGTTCAGCATGGCTGGGGAGGCCTCAGGAAACTTACTATCATGGTAGAAGGTGAAGGGGAAATAAGGTACCTTCTTCACAAGGCTGCAGGAAGAAGAAATGCCAAGTGAAGGGCAAAGAGCCCCTTATAAAACCACTAGATCTCATGAGGACTCATTCAGTACCATGAGAACAGCACAGGGGAAACCACCCCCATGATTCAGTTACCTCCACCTGGTCTCTTCCTTGACCAGGTGGAGGTAATTGAATTATGGGGATTATAGGGATTAAAATTCAAGATGAGAATTGGGTGGGGACACAAAGCCTAACCATATCAATGTCTATGAGAAGGTCATATTCTTGTGTATGTGAAGATAGTTTAGAATTATATACACCTAAAATTAATATTCAGTCTTCATTAAATTAACATTTAGATTTTAATAATAAACTGAGAACAGTCATCTACACATTTTTTCTGATTAAAGAAGTTCAATAAACAACTAAAGTTGATGAAATAAAACTCCCTTCAGCAGAGTCTAACTTACAACTGAGTTACTTCAATTGTCTGAAATATTTAAATTCTTGATGTACCTTTTATTTTAGGATTATGTATTTAAAGCCAATTATTCAATTATTTACTTTAAAGGAAATTGCAAAGCATGTCTGTCAGAATCTCAACATACAGAAGTTGTATTATTGATGCACTAATGCTGAATTTAAAACAGAATATTAATATTTTGGGTTGGTTTATTTAATCAACTATTTACTTCTAAACCTTTCCAAGGTTGGAAATATCTATTAAGACAATAGTTTTATTATTTCATAGAATTAAATATATTATTCCCAAACTGGTGGCATTCCTATCCCAGCAAAATAGGTATATTTACTCAATAGCTAGAGCTTGTCTTTATGGATTTCTTATCTATGTTGGGTAAATAACTACCCCCAACTTAGTGGTATGAAATATATTTTATTATGCTCCCAGAGTCTGTTGGTCAAGGATGACAAACTTTGCTCTGCTCTGCTGTAGCACAATGTCTGGGGCCTCAGCTCTGAGGACTGAAATGGTTGTAGACAGAAATCACCTGAAGGCTTGTCACTTCTATGTCTGTATCTGACATGGGGTGACTCTCAGGCTGGGTTCAGCTGGCATAGTTGATCAGAGTACCTACACATGGGCCCTTCATGGGGCTTCCTCTGTCAGCATGACAGAGGTGGGCTAACTTGAGGGGAGCAAGAATTCCCAAAAAACTAGGAGCTGCATAGTCTTTCACAACCTAGCTTCAAACATTACATAACATCACTTTGTTTTATTCTATTGGCCAAAACAGTCACAACTGCCCAGATTCAAGGGAAAGGGACATAGAGCCACTTCTTGATAGGAGGAATGTCAAAAAATCTGCAGTCATTTTTCAAAGCCTCCACATTCCGTCAACATTTTTTGAGAGACGTATGAGCCCGTGGTCTGCAGATACTCAAAGCCACCCTTCTCCCACCCAAATGAGAGTATTTAATGGTTGCTTTGAAAATAGCTTCCATGTTTATAACTATTAGAGAGCAATTTCACAATTCTCTAAGTTTAAGTCAATCCATTTTTTTTTCCCATCGACTTTCAAAATGCTGTCTGATTTGGGCAGATAAAATGCAGTAACTTCTCTGATTGCCTCCCCATCGAATTGTACCACACTCATCTATTTCCTCTCTCACTTTTGGTCTTAGCATTAAGGCTATTCTAATATTAGCATTTTTTTCTAGGAAAATAGTTGCTAGAAATTTAATTTTCTCTGATTTCTCCTTTCCCTTTTTATTTCCTCCCTTATATTGTCTTAGATACATATTAATTGACAGCATCATCATCAATATTCTCCAACTTACCTTTAAAAGTCCAGGGCATTTCTTTCGCCCCTTTCTCTTTTCCTTGCATCTTCCTTTTTTCTTGTCATGCTCCCCTTATTGCAAAAACAAAAATCATTCCACATCACATATCCCGCACCTTCATTAAAATGTGTGCTACCAGATGCCTGGACCAATTTTCAGCAGTGATTTCTCCCCGTGACTTCTCTCATTTATTAGAGTGAAATCAGGGAAGTACTTGGGAAACAAATGGCTGGACTGATGACCTCAGTAGCTCTCCTGGCCCTGTGATTCAAGAGTCATGAGGAAGTTGTGTAATACTCAAAAAAGTAAGAACTTACTCTTTCACAGAGATGTTTATTAAGGAGCAAATTATCTTCATCCCCAAGTAATTTCATTATAGTTCTTAAGAGCATCATTTTTGGGAGAAACAAAGTGAAATTGCAGTTAACTAAGTGCTAGCATCTGTTTGTTTCAAATCTACAAAATATAGTGATTTGTAAAAATTCTCTGCCATGATATGCTGTTTATAAATATCTGTAGCTGTAATCATCATTTGTTAATTAATTCGCTCATTTGTTTTTTCAGTAAACATTTATTTAATACTTATGAATTCACCAAACGATGAACTTAGGTACTGGGTTACAAAGATTAAGTAATTAAGAAAATTTTTTTTGAATTATTTAAAATAGAAAAATATGCTTTATAAATGAAATAGTTTTTGATGTCACCTTAATATTTGTCAGGCCTTAGGCTTAGTGCTTTGATGCTGAGAGTAAGATAGGAACATCAGTTCAACAAGAGAAACAGACCAGTAGGAAATATATCGTAAGAGATTTATTGTGAGGAATTGTCTTGCGTGACTGTGGGCTTTGGCTAGGCAAATCCAAAATTCAAAGGGCACAAAATGGTCAGAAAGGGCAGGCTGGCACTCTTGGGCATGGGTTATGGTCATTGTCCATAGGCGGAATTTATTCTTCTTCAGAGAAGCTTCAGCTTGCTCTTAAGGTCTTGCAACTGATTGAATCAGATCATCTGGATCATCTAAGGCAATCTCTCTTATTAAAGTCAAGTGATGATGGACTTTAATCACAGCTACAAAACACCTTCATAAGAACACCTAGATTAGTGTTTGATTGAATTGCTGGGAACTGTATCCTAGTCAAACTGACATTAAAACATTTCACCCTTGTCAAGTTGGCACCCATCTACATCTCATGAAATCATGCCTAATCGCCATGTAATATCATAATGAAGTCATACTTCTGCCTAACATGACACAACCCTCCTGCTCACAACCTAGAATGCACTAACCCTTTACGCAGATGGGAATGCAAAGTACTTGGGTGATGTTCGCTCTCCTCCTTTGATATCCTGTATATGAAACATTGTGATGTAAAGTTAATTGTTATTAATGCATCTTCTGTTAGATGATAAGGAGATGAGAGAGGGAAGGAAAATATTTGGTTAAAATATATACAAATAGGTTTATAACAATATAAGGAAATAATACAACTATTACAATTCTTGTTTCTGCAGCTGATCAGATGGTTGCAGCTGGTTCATGACACTTTCCATATTCCTTTGCCCTCAACAATTATCTCAGCAGGTTGTGGTTCTTTGCCTGGTGCGGTGACTCAGATCTTCATTCCTGAAGGCTCTAGACTATCAGTAATTCCTGTCTGAATTGGGTTGTTGTAGTTTTATGTAGGCTTTCATGACAGGACGTAGCAGTATGGAGAAATGCCCTAAAGGATCTCCTGTGTTGCAGACATGTCCTTCCTTACCTCCATTCTATAGCAGTAACCAATTTCTCCTTCATAATCAGGATCAATCACCTTAGCTAGTACACTGACTCCCTTCTTTGCTTGCTCACTGAAAGGCATAAAGAGCCTATAGTCATCAGAGACCAGTGTCATTTTCACTTAATAGAATCATTGCCGTATCTCCTGGTGGAAGCATTCCTCCCTTTGGAACAAGACTTCTAGATACCAGAATCTAAAATCGTCGTTACAGGAAGCAAAAATTTTGCAAGTGGACGACTAAGGGTAATAGTGAATGAAGACGCTTCCATTTCCACCATTTGGTTACTGGACACATGAATCCTGGCTATGTGAGAAACAACAAGCAGGGAACTTGATCACCTTTTCTTTCCACATGACATCACATAGGTCCACTACATTTATGATATTATGCTAAGTGGACATGGCAAAGAAGAAGAAGTAATGACTTTAGACTAATTGTTAAGACATTTGCATGTAAAAGACTGAGAAAGAAAAATGACACAAACTTGGGGGGCTCTATGACCCCCATGTGGGGCATGTTCAGTGCCCCACTGAACACTGTGTGCAGCATGTTCAGATATCCCTCTGAAGGTTAAGGATAAGATGTGGTGTCTGGCTCTCACAACCAATAAAGAGGCACAATAGCCAGCAGGCTTTGTTGAATTTTGTAGGCAACATAGTCCTCATTTGAGTGTGTTACTCCAACTCATTTACCAAGTCACCTGAAAGGCTGCTATTTTTTAGTGAAGCCCAGAACCAGAGAAGGCTCTGCAATAGGTCCAACTGTTAGGCTACTTGAACCATATTATACAGCAGAACCAGTGGTGCTTGAAGTGTCAGTAAGACATGCAGATGCTGTTTGAAACTTTTTGCAAGTCCCTATAGGTGACTCGTAGTATAGGGTTTTGGAGCAAAGCCCTGTTATCTTCTGCAGGCAACTACTCTTTTAAAAGGAAAACCATTGCCTGTTACTGGGACTTGTAGAAACTAACATTTAACCATGGATCACCAAGTTACCATGTACCCTGAGCTACCCCTTATGAACTGTGTTGTCTGATCCTCCAAGCTATAGAACTAGGCATGCATAGCCCAAGGTTGTTGGGATTTTCACTGGAAAACTTTGAGAGTGGTATAATTTATCCCCAGTTCATTAAAAAAGCAGAAGTTGTGGAATGACTTGGCCTTCCCTTAATGCAATTACACAGTTGCCTCCTGTTATAATTCAAGGGGAAAAGATATTTAAAATAGTTGGGAAAAAAACGACATATCTATTTGTCCTTTTATTTAATCGTATGCTTTTATTTTTCTACTGACTTTTTCTTCTGTAGAAACAATTTTCTGGACAACAAAATATTTGTTTAATAATTAAGAGTAGATTCATTTCGTTACCAATTTTAGCTAACCTGATCTCTTACTTTGGAAACTTCATGGGTTTTGTTCATACTTTTGGGATAAGAATACCTTTTGTCCTCTTGTCATGTCCATAAATATGATATATAGTGATTTCTCATAATAAACTGTATGTCCTTTACACTAGGAAAAGAGTTGACATAGATAATAAGCTATTTATTAGCAGTTTTTCACTGTAAAATTAGGCTAATTTCATTTATTTGGATTTGTGACTATATGTACTCAGACGTATACAAAAAAAGTTGTAATTTGACTTTATAAAATATTTGGAACTTTTCCACAAGATTTGTTTTAAAATCAGAAATTATACTTCTAAAGATACAAATTTGTAGAGCTCTCTTTTGCTTATGAGACTGGAGAGGGAACTACTATACTTAACAAAATCCTTAATTTTTCCATACGCTAAACAAATAAAGACCACCTGCTTTCAATCTATTTGCTTTCCAGACAGAACCAATAATGCATCTGAGACAAATTATAGTATTTTTCTGTTTAAATAAAAAAATGGTATTTTCAATAAGTAAAATTTAATTATCTTATTTCAATATATTAAGGTTAACAGAAGAAAATTCGTAAGTTGTCAAGTAATTATATAGTCTAAGCATAAATACATAAATTACTATGTAGAATCTATACTAAAAATGCACAATCCATAAAAGATTCCAGGAATTTAAAATTTAAATAAAATAAAAAGCATTATCCTTCATGATAAATTACTAAGAAAAAGTTATAGATACTCTCGTATATAGGACTGCACAACGATGAATTGTTTTAATCTGTTTGAGATATCTGAAGTTCTTGATGTGAATTATATAACTTTTCTCTTTGATCAATAATATATTTCATAGATTTAAAAATTAGCAAATAGTAGAAAAACAGAATACTTAGAAAAAAATAACCTTCCAAGATCTATGGCAATTTCAATATCCAGAAATAAACATTTGATATATTTGTCTCCAGTCTTTTCTTTAAATCATATATATGTGTTATATGAGATTTATGCTTATACATCCACTTAATATAGAATCATATTTTTTGAATAATTAAACTCATGTTCTGTGTATTCTCATTCTTGCATTTGTTTACAATCACAAACATTTTCTCATGGTGTTGAATACTTAGAAAACATCACTGTAATGCCTACAAAGTATTTTTTTTAATGAATACTTCTTTAATTTCTTAGAGCATTCCTCTATAACTAGCATTTATGTCTATTTCTATTTCTGTCCTAAATACATTCTGTTCCGAATTTTATCATAATCATCTCTTGCTTTCTTAAATACTTTTAACACCTTAGTGTACATTTAAAATACTGTAGTTTAGTTTTGCCTGAGTTTTGAACTTAATGTAAGTGATATAATTACTTTGGGCTTGGCTTACTTCATTCACTTTTTCCAATCATTCATATTGTTGCATGTTACTATGGTGTTTTCTTTGTCTTGGATATATTGTATTCCATGGAACAAAAATGCCATGTTGTATTTATGTGCTTTGGGAGCCTTTCCCCACCCCAGTGTGGGGCTATTACAAACAGAATGTTGTCTGTATCCTTGTGTCTCTGAGTGCATATATACATATTTCTCTTGGCTATGCTGGTAGCCATGTTGAAACTACCAGCCCATGGAGTAGATATATTTTCAACTTTAGTCGATAATTAAAAATTATTCAAATTATTCAATGAAGTGGTGACAACAATTGCTGTGTCCATTCATCAGGAGTGGCAGTTTCAGTTGTTCTACATTCTAGCCAATATTTAGTATTGTCAGCCATTACATATGCAGTGTTTATACATCTGTATATCACAAACATGCAAAATCATTATAATTTTAATTTGCATTTTCTGATTGCTAATAAGATTTTATGGCTATTTGGGTTTATTTTTGTAAAGTGTTCCTTAAAATCTCATTTTAAATTTTATTTTAAAGTTCTCTTATTTTCTGGGTATAAGACTTTTTTTTTTTTTTTTTGCCAGTTATAGGTCTTGTAAATTTACATTCCTGGAGAATATTTTATTTGATACATAATTTTAATTTTATTTTATTTTTACTTTTTGTAGAGACGGGGTTTTGCTTTGTTGCCCAGACTGGTCTCAAGCTCCTGGTTTGAAGTGATCCTCTCACTTCAACCTCCCAAAATGCTGAGATTACAGGTATGAGACACTGTGCTCAGCTGAGTTGATATATGATTTGAAGTTGTAGTTATTTTATTTCATCATCTTGAATCTATTTTTATAGCTTATCTTTTGATAAGTCAATTTGATTTTTTGAAAGTAAGGTATTTTTCTCTCTGGTTATATTGCCTAACTGCTTCTTAATCTGATATGTCCAAGTGTACTTTTCTTCTCATTTATCCATCTTTGCATTTGATGGGATCTTTGAATCTGTGGGTTAAGGTCTTTCTAAATTTTGAAAAACTCTTAGCTTCTGTTTCCTCAAACACTGTTTCTGTGGCAGTTTCTCTCCTCTTTTTCTGAAATGCCAATCACCTGGCTCTTAAACCTCTTCCTGTATACTTTGTGTCTCTTACTCTTTCTTCTGTGTTTTTCATCCTGTTGTCTTTCAGAGTTTTATTCTTAATAATTTATTCTGGGTTCTTTATCTCTTAAACTGTTTTTAATATCCCATTCATTAATTCTGGTTTTTCTTTTTCAAATTTCTGCTTATTTTTTCTATCTGCAAAGTCACTTTTCATAGCTTCCAGTTCTCTGTTAAAATGTTTATTCTTGAATATTACACAGATACCCTAATATATGCAAAAGAGTATCATGTTTATTTTGGCTTATTGCCTCATAAGCCTGGTTATTTTTATGATCAAACATTGTATTTGAAAATGGAATGATTTGATAAGTAAGATGATGTTATCTTCCTCCAGAGAGGATTTTCCTTTATTGATTCCAGGTTCAGGGGACACTA